AAAAAGAAAAATACAATCGATTATTATTTCTCTATCATATTCTGCATTTTCCTACCAATCCTCCAGAGAAAAAAATTGCAATAAAAAGTAATTTAGTCCAAAACGGCCATTCTAGTAAAACTAAAGGTTCATATTTTTTTCCATAAAAAACAAAGAAGAGGAATTCCAAAACTTAACATACGAAGTTTTCCGGCTTTAATTTCTTCTGTTTTCTCAATTAGCACGTAAAGACACCACAGAACACAAGTACCAGCTATTAAACTACATGCAACAGAACATACTACTTTACATGTTTTAACACAATTCATATTTAATTTTTGCCACTAAACAAAAAAAATACAAATAAAATAGAAATCTTTCTTTTGTTTTGCTTTTACTTGTTTACATGGTTTTGTCTCTGCATGCATTATAAATTCACATTTACAAAGTTCACATGATTTAACATCGGTATTTTTTATCAAACGTTGTAAACATGATTGATGTAAATATTGCATTGTACCCAAACAATAACATGGCGATATTAATGGTTCATCATTTGTACCTTGACAATGACATAGTCGACATATAAATGGATGATCACTTGATTGTCCATTTGTTGATGATAATGATATTTCACTTGTTGTTTTTATTGGTAGTAAGGGAGTATCGACTTGTGTTTGATCATTTTTATGTGATATAAGAGGTTCATCGTCACAATTAATCAGAATCTTTTTTTAAAGTATAAATTCAAAATCAAAGATTTGACAAGTTTTTTTTTTCTTACTGACGTATTATTGTTCGTGTCATCTATTTGACTATGATTAGTGACAGAAATACAATCCTTAATAGTTGTCTAAATCAACAAAAGCAAATCATATTTGATACAAATATATATATATATATATAAGTATTCAAATGATTTATTTGTAAAATATCACCGAGTTGGTGTTGTTCTACTCGAATTTTGTTGTTATTTTAACAATTGTTTTATTTAGTAGTGCTTCTTGAAACGCCATTATGATGAACCAAACATTTTGATAGAAAGGTAGCATTTTGCTAATAAACAGTGACATCTTTGGAAGAACTTTTTTTTATAACGTAGAAAAAAAAAGATTTATGTTAGTCGAATCGTTGGTTTTAATTTTAACAGAAGATGCAAGCAAATTGAAACTACACGTTTGATGTGGATGTGTATGTGCCGGTTTGAAATGTTTCAAGAAAGTCATATGACTTGTTTTGATTTTTCCGAGGATCATAATCAGGTATGTTTAGAAACATTGTAAATACATTGGAATTAGTCATGAACAATATGGAAGAAATCAAAAGATTTGTCCAACATGAACATAAATACTAATTTGATATAAAAGACCAATATAATTACAACGTTGATGGAATTTTATCATATATATAGCAATTCGATATCAAAGTTATTATCACATGAAAAGGGCGCCTTGACAGAGATGAAACGAATCATTCACGGAAATCAGGGCGTGGGTTGAGTTAAGATCCACATTCATACCAATACCTACATTCTTTCCACGGTTTTTAAGAAGTTTTCCAGTTGGGGAAAACTGTCTTTTTATTTGTATAAACATTGAATAAATCAATATATTTACCTCAATATGACTGATAGTGGTAGTTTAAATCATTTGACATATGCTTTCAGAAATTTCACTGGCACATATTGTGAATATGCCAATTAAATATAGTTCTTTTCTGGATTTGGAAGGAAAATATTCGATTTCAAAGCTTTTTTATCGTTTTTCCCAAAACATGGTTTTTAATCAGCCATGTGAACTAAAATGATCATAAAAACTGAATGAAATTAATTTCAAAAACATGTCCAATGAAAAACAGCGCACTGGTACATGCTTTAATTTGAAACTACCACGAGCATTGAATTTATTCTAGTAACAAAGTTATAAGGATCCTCTTGTAGGCTATAAATGCACCATATATAAGCTGAAAGTGCGGTCTAGTTTTATGTGTCAACCTGACATTTTTACCGGAAGGGTTTTTCATCAGGACTAATTATTCCTGAAAATTTTAGCTGAAATCGACCATCCTAGGAGGAAATTTTTTTTTGTGAAGGGAAGTTCTTAATTAGTGAAAGTCTAGTTTCAAAAAATTTATAGTTTTCTAATATTCGTATTTGCATATTTTCAGCTTCAGTTCGCTCCAGGTTTTTAGTTTTACATTTTAGATTAAGACGCTTGATAGAAATTTTTATCGAGAACATTCGAAAGACATCCACTCGAAAAAAATATGACCACTCAAAGATAAAACAACCGAAATATTAGCAGAATACCAAAAGTGATATTTCTTCTAAGCCATCCATCATTTTGGAAGGGACAACTAAAATTCATTAATTTTTTCATTATAAAAAAAGAAAAATTCCTTCATTCCATTGTTTATTTGAAGTAAGGTTTAAATTCTTCTTCCTTTAGTGATTGATGGCAATTTCACAATTTCATTAACAAACGTTTTGAAAGTATCTACTTTCTTCATCAAAAAAACGTAGCAGTATTAAAGCAAAAAAAAACAGAAAAGACGAGAGAAAAAAATCAAAAACACTTATTTAGATCATTCTTATAAACCACACTGAGCCCGAAAGTCCAGACTACTTTCGAAAGACAACGAAAAAGAAATGTACTTAGAGTAATCCCGTTGTCATTGGAACAGATCATTGGAACAAATGTCAGAACGAACGATTTGTGCGCAATTCTTTCTCCATGCTGCTTCATTCTTTTCTCATTTATATAATTGAAAGATTTTGACAATTGTAATCGTTCAAGTATAACACACATTGAAACATTCTATCAACGAATTACCGGTCTGTACTGATCTATGCTGACTCAGTTCCAATTTCTTTTCGCTATCAACAAAACAAAAAATATGGCATAGTGCAGCACAACTCTACGAAAATGTAATATTTTACAAATAAAGTACTGATTACTACGCAAGTTGCGATGAAGATTTTGAGTTCATGCGAATATTATGGCGCCGTAGCCATGATGGAGACGATTAATTCAATCGATTTCTCAAGCGTGACAATGAATATTTTTTTTCTACACTAATACATATGTGACACGGTTTTATTACCATTATGTTTCGTTATTTGTACATAGACGCACTTGTTTTTCTCTCTTAAGCGTGTGATCGAGTACTTTTTGTATGATTTCTTATATGCATTCAAAATTCGAAGGATAATGTTATGCAAACGATCATCTTATTACTGGTTAGATTTACTACTTAAACTTGTGCCATATTTTGTTTGTTATAATACAAAAAGAAATAAAAGCACGTCAATTAAGTTGTGAAGGTAAAAGACTACTCGTCTGTCTCCACACACCCATAAGCCAACCTCATACGGTCAGAATACGGCGTTGCCTTGAATCTGTGTTATATGAACACACATAGTCATTATGAGCAGAGCGAGATGTACTATCAACTATTGACTCATCGATGTGTCATCAGTCATAATTTATATAAATGATGCATCAAAGAACAAAACTTAGCAAATCATGCTGTATAATAAGAAAAAATATCTTTATTACATATGTACGCCCATAACGATAATTTGTTGTAGAAAAAAAATTTTCCAAGCTCAAGTGTTGGTGGCGCGTGTTGATCATTGTATTCACTCCACTCATACTTCTTCCACTTTTTCCTATTGTTAGAACTATTGTAAGAACTAAACATGTGTTATCTAGTAGATAGAATTGTATGTATTGTTGTTATTTTCTATAGCAAACAAAGATATACTTGCATTGTGCTGCTTCTCATTGTCTATTGAATGACCGAAGCGATGTTCTATGCAGTAACTTCATCATTTCCACTTGCATTGTTTCCTGTGACCGGCATTCTACCCGATGAAGTAATCTGCCTGAACTATTTCCAAGTGAGAGAATCATTTTTCTACCATCCATTTTAACACAAACTGTGAATAATGTGTTTTTAGGATATTACAACATTGTTAGTTGGCAGTATGATGCTAGCTCATGCAATGGGTCATGTTTGTCGACCAAATAATCACTGGTCTATTGTTTTTTGAATGTATAGATAAAAATCTATCTTTTCGAACAGGAGTATGGCCGGATTGATGAGTGTCACAGCTTTCTTGCGTATTAAAACAAATGCAGCAGCAACAATAAACAACAGAAATCGAAAGACAATTGAAAGAAAACGTTACAACAGGTAACAAATGATCTTCATTTCAATCATCATTAGAATAATTTTTCTATTTACTCTTTAGTCGGCCTTAATTTGAAGATAAGGATCATAGAAGAAA